TGTTTATATGCCTAAGGTCTGTGGCTCCTGAGAGGCAGGAAGAATGTCAGAAGGAGACAAAGACGTTTCTGAACATGAAGAGCTCATGCTGCAATCCCAATGTGAACAGTCACTTCAAATATCTTCCTGCCATTTACAGCTGTTAGGAGTGTAAACCTCCAAAGCTGGGCAGGCTGTGAATCCGACAATCAGGTAAGAGAATGCCTTAGGACTCGGGCTGAGAGGACCCCAGATTTTCTGCATGCTTGTTTATATGCAACTAAGCGCCCAGATCTAGAGCTGGTTTCCTATTTTATGATGGATTCCCCATTGCATTTGTGGATTGTGAAGGCTCTTCATACACTTTTATTGCCATATACATTCTGAATTCAGCATGCCTGGTTTCCTAATTTTTCTCCAGGTAAATATGCAATCTCTCACTATTAAAATTGCAGTGAAATAAATCACTGAATAAGAACAAGTATGATTGGAAATTTGCCTTAAATATTAGACACAGGTCTCTTCCCTAAATGGATTTTTGATACAATTTAGTTTGATGAGTCAGAGAATTCAAAATGATATTTGCCATATCATATTTATCTTACACAGGAGAGGTAGGATTAATACTGTGCAGAACACACATGGTCATCAAAGCAAACTACTCTGACCTGCATGGAGCCAGCCTTTCACAGAGGCCCAGCACAGATTGGGTATATTCTCTAAATTCCTCCATCTCTATGGCCTAGAATCCCAAAGGCTATGGAGAAGTGGTCCCTCATTAACCCACTCCAATTCCTCTCACATCAAATCTTTCTATGCTCCTCTAGGGATTTCCCCCAAACTGAGAAAGATGTGCCTTTTTAAAAATTTTTTTAATGTGTATTTATTTTTGAGACACAGAGAGACACAGTGAGAGTAGGGGAGGGATAGAGAGAGAGGGAGACACAGAATCTGAAGCAGGCTCCAGGCTCTGAGCGGTAGAACACAGCCCCACGTGGGACTTGAACTCACAAGCCATGAGATCATGACCTGAGCCAAAGTCGGATCCCAACCAACTGAGCCACTCAGGTGCTCCAAGATTTGCCTTTTTATAAGAGGCAATCCCACATCTGGATATTAATTCAGACCTCCTTGCATTGGTGTCATTCTTTCCTTGTCTATTTTTCTTAATTAAAAATCCCTCAGGTGCTTTCTTACAAGGTCTGGATATAGCAATCTGGGCAAGTAGTTAATTAGAGTTCATTAGAACCCCCATTAGAGTTCATTAAGGAGATGAGAGGACACTTGTATCAGAAGGTAGATGTGCAGACCCAGAGAAGATGGTAGGTTGGCTATGTGCTCTGAGTCTCTGGGAGAAAGAAACATCTTAATGGTAATCAAATGAGGGGGAAAAATGGTGGACCAATGGCCCATAACCAACAGTTCACCATAATATCTAATAGTCTAATGAGGCAAATCCTATAAAAGGTCTGATGTGGGAACTGTGTAAAACAACAATGCCCTCCCTCAAAGTACCCATTGTGTAGACAGGAAAATCCTCAACTACAAAGTCTCTGATTCTCAACAGAGGTACGCTCCATAGAGTAATTCATCCTTTCTCTTAAGCGATGCTGAATCAAACCTCAGTCACTGCATTTCTCCTCCTGGGAGTCACAGACATCCAAGCACTGCAGCCTTATCTCTTCGTGGTTTTCCTTGCAATTTACATGGTCAGTGTGGTTGGCAATGGAGCGGTCCTCCTGGTTGTCGTCTCTGATCCAAGACTCCATTTACCCATGTATTTCTTCCTGGGAAATCTGTCGTGTCTAGATATCTGCTACTCCACGGTGACACTGCCAAAGATGCTGGAGAACTTCTTCTCTACACACAAGACAATTTCCTTCTTGGGATGCATCAGCCAGCTTCACTTCTTCCACTTCCTGGGCAGCACGGAGGCCATGCTGTTGGCCGTGATGGCCTTTGACCGCTTTGTGGCCATCTGCAGACCACTGCATTACTCTGTCATCATGAATTACCAGCTCTGTACCCGGATGGCTGTCACGGTCTGGACCATCGGTTTTTTCCATGCCCTGTTGCACTCCATGATGACCTCTCGCTTGAACTTCTGTGGTTCTCATCAGATCCATCACTTCTTCTGTGATGTCAAGCCTTTGCTGGAGTTGGCCTGCGGGAACACGGAGCTCAACCAGTGGCTTCTCAACACGGTTACCGGGACCATTGCCATGGGCCCCTTCTTCCTAACACTTCTCTCCTACTTCTCCATAATCATCTCTCTTTTCTCCAAGACCCACTC